GAGCCAGGATCCCAAGTGTGATTAGCCCTGTGGCAGTCCAGCGCCTTGACCACCACACCACCTACTGGCCTCTACCTGTGTCTTATTTTAAATGCCAGGCCTTGGAGCCAGCAGGTGGCTGGTGACTAAGGGCACTGGGCTCCCCAAGGCCTGCTAAGCAGAGCAGACCTGGTGGCTTGCTGTATCACTTTCTCTCTCTTGCTTTCTTGCTTTCTCTCTCTCCCTCTGTGGTCAAGTTAAAATAAATAAATAGTTAAATGAAATAATTCTTTTTTCTTAAATTATTTTACTTAACTTTCTTTTCTTTTTTATTTATTTTTATTTTTTTAAAGTTGACCAGAGACAGAACGGGAAAGTGAGGAAGCAAGCTACCAGGTCTGAGACTCGAACTGTGGTCAGCCATGTGGTAGTCCAGCTGCCTTAACCACCATGCCGCCTGCTGGCCCCTGTTTATCCTTACTTATTTTAATTTGACCAGAAAGGGACAGAGCCAGAGGGAGAGAGAGAGGGAAATGAGAAAATCAAATTGCCAGGTCCAGGACTCGAACTGTAGTCAGCCATGTAGGAGTCCAGCACTCTTAATCCCCATGCCACCTGCCGGCCCCAATAAAATAATTCTTAAAAAAAAAAAACAACACTAAACCTTATTTAGCCAGAGCATTTTCTCTCTTTTATTTTTAGAGAGAGATTTTTGCTATAAGGCATGCACACTAGCTAGAGAGACAGAAAATGAGAGATCACCTCCCCCACTGCTGGGCAGACATTCATGCTGGTCTCCTCTTCCATGCATAGGCTCCTGGTGTGTGGTGTTTTAAGCCCCTGGGTCCAAGACTCAAACTGCGTTCTACCACATGGAAGTCCAGCGACATAACCCTTACATCGTCTGCTGGTCCCCAGGCTTTCACTTAAAATGGTTTTCCTGTTTGGGGCCAGCAGGTGATGTGCTTAAGGTGCTGTTGTCCCATGTGGTGGTCAGCTGCAGTGTAAGTCCTCGAACTGGCACGCTCATGTCCTATAGCAATTTAAGTAAATAGCCCTTTAAAAAGATTTTTATCTTGTCCAAAATTCATAAGGACTTCTGGCCATTTGGATCAAGAACAGTGAGCTGTGGCTGTGAATGTCTGAACTACTTGGGTTTCGCAGCACCCCAACTAGTGTAGGATTCTTTAGCTCATTTGCAAAATGTGATCTGCCCCATTTACAATGGCCTTCCTGCCTCTTAAAAACGCGCCTTGTGTGTGCTGGTGTGCTCTGTGAGCCTTGAGAGTACACCCGCAATCTCTTCTGCCGCCTTGAGGCCTAGCAGGGCCCAGGACCTAGTGCAGGAAAAACCGGTTTAATTAGATCCTCCTTGCTTTGCCCGGGATTAATAGTGGAATCCAGAATTTAGG